ATATGTGTATAGCAACCAGTGATATGCTTTTAATAAATGTTTATAACATCCAGTAAAATAGCTATAGCAACTGGCTTAATGTTTATAGCAACCAGAATTATGTTCTTAGCAACAGATTTGTTTATAGCAACCAAATATATGTTTATAGCAACCAATGGTATATTCATAGCAACATGTTTGTTTATAGCAACCAGATATACGTTTATAGCAACCAAAGACATAATATCAATAGGAGATATGTGTATAGCAACCAGTGATATGTTCATAGCAACAGGTTTGTTTATAGATAGCAACATGTTTGTTTATAGCATCCAGATATATGTTGATAAAACCAAATACAAGATAATAGCAATAGGAGATATGTGAATAGCAACCACTGACATGCTTTTAATAATTGTTTATAACATCCAGTAAAATAGCTATAGCAACTGGTTTAATGTTTATAGCAACCAGAGGTATGTTCTTAGCAACAGATTTATTTATAGCAACCAAATATATGTTTACAGCAACCAAAGACATAATATCAATATGAGATATGTGTATAGCAACCAGTGATATGCTTTTAGAATATGAAGAAATTTTTATAAGAATTAGTAAAAAAAAGTAGTTGCAACTGTTTTAATGTTTATAGCAACCATATTCCTAGTGGAGAAGCCTGCATTGGAGAAGCCTGGTTGCTCGCCTGCTGCCTTTGGACTATGGCCCCCTTTTAAAAGACTTTATTTTTCCATGCAGAAAAGCTGTATTCGTGCTTTTCTGCCGGTTGTTCGGTAGTTTCAATCTACCGAACAACCGTACGAATGACTGGACCACCTGGGAGCTGGAGTGTGCCGGCAATTAACCTCCCTGAAGCTGCGGTTAACCGCAGCTTAATTGATGAACGCTGGGTGGCCGCCGTTCGTATCCCGAACACGAGGTCGCGGCCATTTTAAACCATACGAATGAACAGCGGTGTTCGCCTCTATTTTCATGGAACTAAAATCGGACACAGTTTTGCGCGAACACCGCTGAAGCCGCCGACCTCCCTTCTTGTTCGGTGAAAGCACACGAATGACCCGGTGTTCGGTATTTTTGTGTGAATGTCTTATACCCCAGATAGGAATCCCATGGAGCCCATTCGTATGAAACTGACTGTAAAGACTTTGGCTCCATGGCGATTGAACTGTATTCGTGTAGTCTGAGTGCCATTCACCTAATAATGTGCACTCAGACCTGAGCTATCTGGGGATATGTTACATGTCTGTGTTTTATGTAGTAAATGTTACTTTGTGCATTTTAAAGTATTATGCTGGTTTTGTGTTCCCACGTGTGTAATGGAGTTTTGCCTTTGTCTTGGGAGATAATTGAGTTACTTCCCAATTATCTCCCAGGGCAGAGGGGAGGAAGCCAGGATGCATTGTGGGAATATACTGTGACTGTGTGTCCTATTTGTATACTTGTCTGTCCCTTGTCACAGTCTCCCATTTGGTCCCCTAGGGGAGTGTCCACCAGGTGGGAGACCTGCATAAAAGCCGGGCAGGTAGCCCTCATTAAACAGACCACTGCTTGACCCTCAACACGGAGCCTTGTCTCGTCTTTGGGGGGATTTACTGTATGCTGCTAAGGACTGATTGCCAGGAGTGTAAGCCGCTTGGAAGCTTTTCCTGTTCGCCTGCTAGCAGCTATTCGTATGGTTCCTGTTCGTTTATTTGAAGTGCTACCTTATTCCCTTGTATGCCGTTTGGGAGTTTGGAGCATTCACTTATTGGCGGTTCGTGAGTTTTGGTGATTCTACAGTAGCTGTGCCTGTCTCTAAAAGGGGATTATCGTCTAAGCGTTTTTTTCCCCTTTTGTGCAAAACGGTCCGTTACACCTAGCAACAGATTTGTTTATAGCAACCAAATATATGTTTATAGCAACCAATGGTATATTCATAGCAACTTGTTTTTTTATAGCAACCAGATATATGTTTATAGCAACCAAAGACATAATATCAATAGGAGATATGTGTATAGCAACCAGTGATATGTTCATAGCAACAGGTTTGTTTATAGATAGCAACATGTTTGTTTATAGCATCCAGATATATGTTGATAAAACCAAATACAAGATAATAGCAATAGGAGATATGTGAATAGCAACCAGTGATATGCTTTTAATAATTGTTTATAACATCCAGTAAAATAGCTATAGCAACTGGTTTAATGTTTATAGCAACCAGAGGTATGTTCTTAGCAACAGATTTGTTTATAGCAACCAAATATATGTTTACAGCAACCAAAGACATAATATCAATATGAGATATGTGTATAGCAACCAGTGATATGCTTTTAGAATATGAAGAAATTTTTATAAGAATTAGTAAAAAAAAAAGTAGTTGCAACTGGTTTAATGTTTATAGCAACCATAGGTATGTTCCTAGCAACAGATTTGTTTATAGCAACTAATTATATGTTTATAGCAACCAATGGTATATAAAGTGAGCTGTTACATATTACTAGTCCAAACTAAATCTACTGTTATTTGTATGTTCAGTTTCAAATAAAGAACATGATTCTCTACTTAGTTTTGAGTATTTTTATGTCTGCTTTGTGTAAAGTGAGCTGTTACATAGCATGTGTGAATTCTCTATTACTAGTCCAAACTCAATCTACTGTTATTTATATGTTCAGTTTCAAATAAAGAACATGATTCTCTACTTAGTTTTGAGTATTGTTATACTATTTCTGTTATTTGTATGTTCAGTTCCAAATAAAGAACATGATTCTCTACATAGTTTTGAGTATTTCTATGTCTGCTTTGTGTAAAGTGAGCTGTTACATAGCATGTGTGAATTCTCTATTACTAGTCCAAACTCAATCTACTGTTATTTGTATGTTCAGTTTCAAATAAAGAACATGATTCTCTACTTAGTTTTGAGTATTGTTATACTATTTCTGTCATTTGTATGTTCAGTTTCAAATAAAGAACATGATTTTCTTAGTTTTGAGTATTGTTATACTATTTCTGTCATTTGTATGTTCTGTTTCAAATAAAGAACATGATTCTCTACTTAGTTTTGAGTATTGTTATACTATTTCTGTTATTTGTATGTTCTGTTTCAAATAAAGAACATGATTCTCTACTTAGTTTTGAGTATTGTTATACTATTTCTGTTATTTGTATGTTCAGTTTCAAATAAAGAACATTTTTCTCTACTTAGTTTCGAGTATTGTTATGTCTGCTTTGTGTAAAGTGAGCTGTTACATGAGCATGTGTGAATTCTCTATTACTAGTCCATTATCAATCTACTGTTATTTGTATGTTCAGTTTCAAATAAAGAACATGATTCTCTACTTAGTTTTGACTATTGTTATGACTGCTTTGTGTAAAGTAAGCTGTTACATAGCATGTGTGAATTCTCTATTACTAGTCCAAACTCAATCTACTATTTGCAAGTTTAGTTTCAAATAAAGAACATGATTCTCTACTTAGTTTTGAGTATTGTTATGTCTGCTTTGTGTAAAGTGAGCTGTTACATGAGCATGTGTGAATTCTCTATTACTAGTCCATTATCAATCTACTGTTATTTGTATGTTCAGTTTCAAATAAAGAACATGATTCTCTACTTAGTTTTGAGTATTGTTATGACTGCTTTGTGTAAAGTGAACTGTTACATGAGCATGTGTGAATTCTCTATTACTAGTCCATTATCAATCTACTGTTTTTTGTATGTTCAGTTTTAAATAAAGAACATGATTCTCTACTTAGTTTTGTGTATTCTTATACTATTTCTGTTATTGGTATGTTCAGTTTCAAATAAAGAACATGATTCTCTACTTAGTTTTGAGTATTGTTATACTATTTCTGTTATTTGTATGTTCAGTTCCAAATAAAGAACATGATTCTCTACATAGTTTTGAGTATTTTTATGTCTGCTTTGTGTAAAGTGAACTTATACATAGCATGTGTGAATTCTCTATTACTAGTCTAAACTCAATATACTGTGATTTGTATGTTCAGTTTCAAATAAAGAACATGATTCTCTACTTAGTTTTGAGTATTGTTATACTATTTCTGTTATTTGTATGTTCAGTTCCAAATAAAGAACATGATTCTCTACATAGTTTTGAGTATTTTTATGTCTGCTTTGTGTAAAGTGAACTTATACATAGCATGTGTGAATTCTCTATTACTAGTCTAAACTCAATATACTGTGATTTGTATGTTCAGTTTCAAATAAAGAACATGATTCTCTACTTAGTTTTGAGTATTGTTATACTATTTCTGTTATTTGTATGTTCAGTTTCAAATAAAGAACATTTTTCTCTACTTAGTTTCGAGTATTGTTATGTCTGCTTTGTGTAAAGTAATGTGTTACATGAGCTTGTTTGAGTTTTCTAATACTTGTCCAATATCAATCTACTGTTATTTGTACGTTCAGTTTCAAATACAGATCATGATTCTCTACTTAGTTTTGAGTATTGTTATGACTGCTTTGTGTAAAGTGAGCTGTTACATGAGCATGTGTGAATTCTCTATTACTAGTCCATTATCAATCTACTGTTATTTGTATGTTCAGTTTCAAATAAAGAACATGATTCTCTACTTAGTTTTGAGTATTTTTATGTCTGCTTTGTGTAAAGTGAGCTGTTACATGAGCATGTGTGAATTCTCTATTACTAGTCCATTATCAATCTACTGTTATTTGTATGTTTAGTTTCAAATAAAGAACATGATTCTCTACTTAGTTTTGAGTATTGTTATACTATTTCCGTTATTTGTATGTTCAGTTTCAAATAAAGAACATGATTCTCTACTTAGTTTTGAGTATTTTTATATCTGCTTTGTGTAAAGTGAGCTGTTACATAGCATGTGTGAATTCTCTATTACTAGTCCAAACTCAATCTACTGTTATTTGAATGTTCAGTTTCAAATAAAGAACATGATTCTCTACTTAGTTTTGAGTATTGTTATACTATTTCTGTTATTTGTATGTTCAGTTCCAAATAAAGAACATGATTCTCTACTTAGTTTTTTTTTTTTTTTTTATTCTTTATTTTTGCTGTGCAGGTGGGTACAAGAAAACAGGCGCCACAACAGCGTAGTGCAAGATATACAATGGTTAAACAATGGCATGAGAGTCTGCACAATTTCATATTTTTAGCAAGCTTGCCTAACTATTTGTATCATTAGCATGAAGTTAAACGAAATACAGCAAGATAATTGATGCTTAACTTGTCTAATTAGGCATATGTGTGAGAACCAAAACAGTGAGCTTATTTTTGCCTTTAAAACAGGAGCAATGGTCAGCATCAAGACCCGATGTCTATAGGCTTAATTAAGTTTAACCACCAGGGGGCAGCAGAGCGTCAGACATACATGCAGGCTCAAACATTTTAATTGCTTTCTAACTGCAGGAAGAATCTGCTATAAAAACACACATCAATATGGTAGAGGAGATACTAGACCAAGAGGTACACCACAGTCTATTATAGCTTTAGGCATAAATAGTTAGAAGCCGCTTGGTCCCTCCTGCAGCTGTGCGTTTAGCTGGTTATTTCACTGTGTGGGGGCTTGACAGTCAGGAGTGGAGCTTATTCCCCATTTACGTTGTTCCCTTGTATTCAGGCAGGGTCAGGGTCCAGACAGATTCCCCTTATATCCACTTGTGTTAATGAGAGGTGATGCCTCTGTTGGTGTGAGTGCTATAATGCTGAGCTGAGCTGTGCTTGGCTTGCTTGTGGAGTATATCCCTTATACAGGTATCCTGTGGGTGAAAGGAGCACTCCGTCTGTCTGCTGTTGCCTCACTTTGTCTCACAATGAGCGCGGCGGCCATCTTAGTTTTTCCCCATGCGGTCCCCGGTCAGTCTTCCTGCCGCTTAGATGCCCTGAACGAGCGCTGCGTCCCCGATGGGGTCCGGGATAACCCCCCGGCCCACAGGGGGGGGTAACGGGGCCCTTTGCAGGCGGCGGGAGGTCCTGCCGGACCAAGCACGAGAGATCGGCCGCTTCTCCCGCCAGGGCCTCACAGCAGGCCGCAATCCCCCTCGCCTAGCAGACCGCATCGCCAGCGGAGCGGGGGCTGATACTTGCCCCGAAGGCTGTTGGTCGGGTCCCCTTTGCCCTCTCACGGCAGCTGAGGGGTTTCCAGGTAAAGAAGGGCATATTTAAGCTGGTCTCTGTGATTTTAGCAGGGAGCCGAGGTGCTCCACGTCTACCCCGCTCGGCGGCCAGGCCCCGCCCCCCTCTCTACTTAGTTTTGAGTATTGTTATGTCTGCTTTGTGTAAAGTGAGCTGTTAGATGAGCATGTGTGAATTCTCTATTACTAGTCCATTATCAATCTACTGTTATTTGTATGTTCAGTTTCAAATAAAGAACATGATTCTCTACTTAGTTTTGAGTATTGTTATACTATTTCTGTCATTTGTATGTTCAGTTTCAAATAAAGAACATGATTCTCTTCTTAGTTTTGAGTATTGTTATGTCTGCTTTGTGTAAAGTGAGCTGTTACATGAGCATGTGTGAATTCTCTATTACTAGTCCATTATCAATCTACTGTTATTTGTATGTTCAGTTTCAAATAAAGAACATGATTCTCTACTTAGTTTTGATTATTGTTATACTATTTCTGTTATTTGTATGTTCAGTTTAAAATATAGAACATGATTCTCTACTTAGTTTTGAGTATTGTTATACTATTTCTGTCATTTGTATGTTCTGTTTCAAATAAAGAACCTGATTCACTACTTAGTTTTGAGTATTATTATACTATTTCTGTTATTTTTATGTTCAGTTTCAAATAAAGAACATGATTCTCTACTTAGTTTTAAGTATTGTTATGTCTGCTTGGTTTAAAGTGAGCTGTTACATGAGCCTGTGTGAGTTCTCTATTACTTGTCCAAAATGAATCTCCCTTTACTTGTATGTTCAGTTTCAATTAAGGATCATAATTCTCTGCTTAAGCATAGGATCCCCCTATACTGCACAGACCCCCCAATACAGCACAGACTGTAGTGGAGAGCTGATATTCCACAGGTTATACAGGGTGCGCTAGGTATAATTAGGTTAGGTTCCCCCCATACTGCACAGACCCCCAATACTGCACAGACCCCCCATACAGCACAATCTCCCTATACTGCACAGATCCCCCTGCACAGCACAGACCAGCCTACATTGCACAACACCCCCCATACTGCTCAGACCCTTTTCCATACTGCACAGACCCCCCCATACATCACAGACCCCTTCCCATAAAGTACAGACCCCCCAGACTGCACAGATCACCCCCATACAGGACTGACTCCCCATACAGCACAGACCCCCTGTGACAAAACCGTCTGTCTTTGGATTATGTTTCTCCTCACTCCATTCGTGTGTTTGTTCAGTTATTTCTTTGCCCATACAGTCCCTCTGTTTCCCCATATTGTTTCCCGAAAGACTACCGAATACGCAACCTCAAGGAAGCTGGCTTGTGCAGTCAATTGACCACCCAGTATCTCCGGTTAACTGCAGCTTAATTAACTATTACTGTGTGGTCGCAGTTACACATAACCGCCACACGGTGGCAGTGTTATAGAAGTTCTCCCGGACAGCCAGCGGTGCTCTGCTCAGCCTCAGTACACCAAAAATGGACACTTTTCCTCCCAAGCACCGCTGAACTACCAGCCTACGAGTCTTAAGCTACGTTCATGAACCGAACAGCGGATCATTCAGGACTTTATGTCTATATTGAATTACATGTGAGGGTACCCAGATAACATGCCATGAAGCCTGTTCATGGAATTAAAGACTTTGGCTCCAATAGCGATTAAACTGTATTCGTGTGGTGCCAAATAATGTTCGCTCAGACCTGAGCTATCTGGGGGTATGTTATATGTCTATATTTAGTGTGACATCTGTAACACTGTATATTTTAACAGTAATTTCTATTCTGGTGTACCCATGTGCATAATGGTGATTTGCCTTTGTCCTGGGAGAAACATAGAAACAAAGAAACATAGAATGTGATGGCAGATAAGAACCATTCGGCACATCTAGTGTGGCAATTTTCTAAAGCTTTCATTAGTCCCTAGACTTATCTTATAGTTAATCTAGCCTTATGCTTAAACTCCTTTACTGTGTTAACCTCTACCACTTCAGCTGGAAGGCTATTCCATGCATCCACTACCCTCTCAGTAAAGTAATACTTCCTGATATTATTTTTAAACCTTTGTCTCTCTAATTTAAGACTATGTCCTCTTGTTGTGGTAGTTTTTCTTCTTTTAAATATAGTCTCCTCCCTTACTGTGTTGATTCACTTTATTTTATATATTTAAATGTTTCTACCATATCCCCTGTCTCGTCTTTCCTCCACACTATACATGTTAAGATCCTTTAACCTTTCCTGGTAAGTTTTATCCCGCGATCCATGAACCAGTTTAGTAGTCTGAACCCTCTCTAAGTCTGAACCCTCTCTAAGGTATCAATATCCTTCTGAAGATACGGTCTCAAGTACTGTGTACAATACTCCAAGTGAGGTCTCACCAGTGTTCTGTACAATGGCATGAGCACGTCCCTCTCTCTACTGCTAATAGCTCTCCCTATACAATCAAGCATTCTGCTAGAATTTCCTGCTGCTCTATTACATTGTCTGCCTACCTTTCAGTCATCAGAAATAATCACCCCTAAATCCCTTTCCTCATATGTTGAGGTTAGGACTCTATCAAATATTCTGTACACTGCCCTTGGGTTTTTATGTCCAATATGCATTATCTTGCACTTATCCACATTAAATGTCAGTTGCCACAATTCTGACCATTTTTCTAGTTTCCTAAATCATTTGCCATTTGGCTTATCCCTCCTGGAACATCAACCCTCTTACATATCTTAGTATCATCAGCAAAAAGACATACCATATTACTTCTCAATTATATCCAGGGCAGAGAGGAGGAAGCCAGGGTGCATTGTGGGTTAGGTTGTATTGTCACGGTGTGTCCTGATCTGATACCTGTCTGTCCTTTGTTACAGTCTCCCATTTGGTACCCTAGGGGAGTGTCCACCAAGTGGGAGACCTTCATAAATGCGGGCAGATAGCCCTCATTAAAGCCAGATCTTGTTTTTCCCTCAATACGGAGCTTGGTCTCGTGATTGGGGGGGGGATTTACTATACACATATGACTGCTTGTAATGTAAGCCGCTTGGATGTGGTGTCTGATCATCTGTTAGCAGCGATTCGTGGAATTACCGTTCGGGAGTCTGAAGTATTACTGGTACGCTGTTCGGGAGTTAGGAGCATTCCCCTGGTTCCAGTTATGGAGTTTGGGGTTCTAAAGTAGTCGTGCCTGTATCCCTGATAGGGGAAGCTCTACTAAGTGGCGATTTCACTCCTTAATGCCGGATGTGTCTTAACACCCCCCAATACAGCAAACCCCCCAAAATGCACAGCCCCCCCAATAAGACCCCTTCCAATAATGCACAGACCCCCCCCATACTGCACAGATCCCCCATACTGCACAGATTCCCCAGTAATGGCTCACCTGGCACCCCGACTGGGTATCTCCATTGAAGGATGCTCCTAGCGCTTCCTGAGGGCTTCAAGCACTCCAGACAACACTAAAACCACCGTAGACTCCTTCAGAGAGCAAGACAGGAACCAGCTCTTAAAAGAGCTTAGAAGTGATTATCTAAGGGAGCATGCAGAGCATAGCAAGCCCTTGTAATGATATAGTAATTCCCCCAATAAGAGACAGGACTCTAGATTGAGGGTGAAGATGAACTGTATTACTTGGCACCAAAGGGCCTTCTTTTATGCAGGTTTTCCACACATAGTACCACCCACAGGGTTTTTCAGAGAAACCAATAAACACATTACAACACATACAATGCAAGTACAGCGGCCAATCAGACACAATGGGACAATAGAAACACACCCATCATATTCCTTGTGACAGATCCCTCTGTCTTAGAACTATATTGCTATCCCGGTTGATTCGTGTGGATTCGTATAATTAACTGCCCGTACTTCCCCATTCATTTATTTTTTTTAATCTACCGAACAAACTACCGAACGGCCGGCCACCCAGAAGAGAAGTGTGCGGCTGGTTAACCTATTGGTCGCAATTAGAACATAGTGGTTAACCGCAGACACCTCTTAATTGAAACCGTAAGCTGGGTGGTCATCGTTCGTATGCCAACCACGAGGCGGCGGCCATCTTAGATGCACAAATAAACAGCGGTGTTCGTCGACAATCTTATGGAACCCAAAACGGACAATTTTTCTCCCGAACACTGCTGAAACCGCCGACCTCCCTTCTTTGTCATCTGGCATACGAACGCCGGTCCATTCGGGACTTTTACTTCATGGATGGACTTAACCCAGATAGCCATCCCATGGAGCCATTCGTATACCGAAAGAACAGTGTGAAAAACTTTGGCTCCATGGCGATTGAACTGTGTGTATTGGAACTGAGCGCCATTCGGTAATAATGTGCGCTCAGATCTAGGCTATGTTTTGCCTCTATCCATGGAGATAATTGGATTTCTTCTCAAATATCTCCAGGATAGAGAGGAGGGAAGTGTTTAAGTCTGAGCAACTGTGACTAGCTACTGTACCATACTTGTCAAAGTCTTCCACCTGGTCCCCTAGGGGAGTGTCCACCAGGTGGGAGACCTGCATAAATACCGAGCAGGTAGCCCTCAATAAATCAGATTCCTGTTTTACCCTCAAGACGGAGCTTGGTCTATATTCAGGAAATTGGAGTATTCATGAGTTGCTGGTCCTGTATCAAGGAGAAAAGGAGTTCGTGTATTTTTCCAGTTTGGTGAATTGAAGCGTTCGTGAGTTCGTGAGCTGTTCCCGTATCAAGGTGAATCCCTCTTTCGGTATTAACCCAGGTTATACCGTAACATTCCTCCCCTCTGCTTTGGAGATCATTGAATCAATTACTGTATCTACTCAATTATCTCCAAACTGAAAAGTTACACTTTTTATACATTTTTATAACTTTGTGAGTTTACATCATACATACATAAAACTTATATTATTTTGACCAGTATAACTTGGAGACAAACATATCCAAAATTCACTTGAATAGGTTCAGGGGTTTAAAAGTTAGGTCAAAGTCCTTTGTTATCACTTGCAAGCATGGCTTTTCCTGCCCAGACAGTGTCCCTGGGACAACTCGCTGCTGGAGAACAAATGGGAGACTGGAATTACAGATGGACATGGGGACATTTCAGACATACAGTTACAGGT